GACCCTCACTTCCTTCAGTATATCTTCATCTTTTCCCTCTCCAATATCTCCAACACTTAAATAAATAAAATAAAATAAAAACCACTGTTTCGTTAAGTGAAGGAGGGGACATATTCCCAGAGGCACAGATTTCTCATCTCAGACATCTTACATCCTCTGGTCAAGGGTTTGATATAATTCCATCTGCAGTCCATCAACACTAGTTAGCCAAAGGGGACTGAGTATAGTGCAAGAGACTGAACTTTGTCCCAACCTAATATCCATCCATATCAAATTCATTCTCTGGAAAGGGCAGAATTACATTTTTAATTACGGTCTATGGTTACAGCTGAAGTTATATACTCCCCTTAACCCACAGCAGATGTCCAGTTAATAACACTGGGACATTTGCACACTTATTGAAGACAGAATATGGTCCTTATATAGCAACTACTAACATTGTTAATGAAGCTTCTGAGGTATTCAGGATACTTTTAGGATGAACACCATTTCTCCCATTTACTTTGACATTTATACATGCAAGCACCCAACTTACATGTACAATTGCAGTACCTCCATGCACAAATTAGATGTATAAATGCACCTAAATTATCTGAAATTATGGCATTTAAAACATTATCCACCAGTAAGCTTCAGAGTTAACTCTTCATTTAAATTAATGAGGTGGCTCAGTCCCCTCAGTGCTGTTTAACGCTGAAGCCCGATCTACATTACAGAGTTAGGTTGACGCTAGGCAGCTTACATTGACCTAACTATTGAAGCGTCTACATTAAAATTTCGCTCCCGCCACCGTAACTGCCCTGCTACACCGACTTAACTCTACCTCCAAAAGAGGCGCAATCAACGTTGACGTAGTTAGATCGATGCAGTCTCAGGGTAGACACTGTATTGCTTATAATCAACTGTTTCAGGCTTTCAAAAGCCATTCCACGATGCCCCATGCTGACAGTATAATCAGTACAAGCGCTCCTGGTCAGATCGCACACTGCCAACACAAGGAGCAAAGCGCAGACACGCACAAACAATGTAATTACTGCGGCAGCTGTATGCCGACATAAGTTAGTTTGACTTAATTTTGTAGTATAAACATGGCCTAAGACAGTACAACATTGTTTCACCTCCAAAGAGTTGTGACCAAATACCAGAGAGTTATTGTATGAAATATAAGGATTGAAAACAATTTTTTTAAATTAAAACTTTTATTCTACAGAGCACTTATCCAGTAGCCATGCAGATCAAGTGGGCCAGAAGTTTTATATCTTCATATTACATTAACAAAAAAGAGTGGGGTAGCACTGTTAGTCTCCTCTCTGTTTGCATGTCCCCATTATCTGTCACTTGCAGAGCACCCTCAGCAGATGGGGAAGACCATCCCTTTGCCTCTATTTATACAACAGAACATGAAACAAAGAGCATATTAATTTCATTTTGCTGGTGAGAAAGTTCCTGGATTCCCCAGAAACACAAAGAATTACAGTAAATTCAACCAACTACACAGATAGTATGTGCCAATCTTATGGCGTCATTTGGTTTTAATTTATTTTTATAAAGTGCCATTTGCAAAGGATCACTAATATTAAGTTGACTGAAGTGGGAAGGAACCACTAAACTGAAAAACACTAAAAAAAGTTAACAAAATGTACTGTAATGTTGCAAAGAAGAAGAAATCACACACAAGAGTGACTTGCATCTAAGAAATCCAATTCTTATGCTATACAGTTTCATATTACAGTTATATACATAAAAAGAAAAGGAATACTTGTGGCACCTTAGAGACTAACCAATTTATTTGAGCATGAGCTTTCGTGAGCTACAGCTCACTTCATCTGATGAAGTGAGCTGTAGCTCACGAAAGCTCATGCTCAAATAAATTGGTTAGTCTCTAAGGTGCCACAAGTATTCCTTTTCTTTTTGCGAATACAGACTAACACGGCTGTTCCTCTGAAACCAGTTATATACATGTATTTCATGTTATTAAAATAAGTGTTTCAACTTCGACATATCAGACCTCAGTTCTCTAAAGAGTTACTGAGTTTTGTGGAGTACTCTCACTGGTTTCTATGGGACCACTAACACGCATAAATGCAGTGTTAGGGTTGCTAAATGAGGGCTGTTTTCACTGCTTATGACTTCACCACTTGAGTTATGACATTAGAATACTATCCTCGGGTTCAGGCTACCTAAAATACTAAGCTACAGGATATATGCTCCCATATATATGATATCCAAAGATTCCTGTAGTGCTCATCAACATGACATCTAGAGATCAAACACAAGTCAACAGCAATACTGTATTTTCAGTCTGATATAGCTTTAAAAATTTAAACCAGTTTTATATTTACAGTATGGTGTGATGTCAAGCTATAGTAACACAATATACCTTTATAGAAGTAAAATGTTTTGAGACAATTTTAGTTGCTGAAATGCTGCAAACAACTATTTTATTAAAATATAAATATGAGCAGTGATGAAACCCCAGAGGAAACCAGATGCATAGGCAAGTGTCTTCTACTGAAAATGCCATGCAACTGACCCTAGATATTCTTACCTCAGGAAATGAAAGTCAGTGTCTCCAAACTGATTTTAGAAGCAAACAGATCACAAAAGCTGATTACAGTAAGTGATGTAAATAGTGGAACATTTTCAATTGGACAGTAATACAACCAATACAGTACAAAATATATGCTGTTCTCTTTACATCAGGATTGAGAAGCCTGGTGATATGATAAACTGACCAAGCTCGGATACCCTGGTCTCTTTTGACGATTAAACGCTTTATATAATCACAAGTAGGAAATTTCTGTTGTGATTTATAGTATTGTGAATTTTTTATGGTAATACTTTATGGCACAGTGTTCCAAAACAGTGAATGCACTCAATCACTGTTGTTTACAGGATATAATTAGATGTGTATGATATATTTTTGTGGGCATGTAAAAGTTTGCCACACCATTCTCTGAATTGTTATAAGAGCATAAGAATGGCCCTACTGCGTCAGACCAAAGGTCCATCTAGCCCAGTATCCTGTCTTCCAACAGTGGCCAGTGCCAGGTGCCCCAGAGGGAATTAACAGTACAGGTAATCATCAAGTGATCCATCCCCTGTCACTCATTCCCAACTCCTGACAAACAAAGGCTAGGGATACCATTCCTACCCATCCTGGCTAATAGCCATTGATGGACCTATCCTCCATGAATTTCATCTTTCTTTTTTTAACCCTGTTATGGTCTTGGCCTTCACAACATCCTCTGGCAAGGAGTTCCACGGGCTGACTGTGTATTGTGTGAAGAAATACTTCCTTTTATTTGTTTTAAACCTGCTGCCTTTTAATTTCATTTGGTGACCCCTAGTTCTTGTGTTATGAGGAGTAAATAACACTTCCTTATTTACTTTCTCTACACCAGTCATGATCTTACAGACCTCATTCATATCTCCCCTTAGCCATCTCTTTTCCAAGCTGAAAAGTCCCAGTCTTATTAATCTCTCCTCATATGGAAACCGTTCCATACCCCAATCATTTTTGTTGCCCTTTTCTGAACCTTTTCCAATTCCAATATATCCTTTTTGAGATGGGGCGACCAGATCTGTACACAGTATTCAAGATGTGGGCGTATCATGGATTTATATAGAGGCAACATGATATTTTCTGTCCTATTATCTATCCCTTTCTTAATTATTCCCAGCATTTTGTTTGCTTTTTTGACTGCTGCTGCACGTTGAATGGATGTTTTCAGAGAACTATCCACAATGACTCCAAGATCTCCTTCTTGAGTGGTAATGGCTAATTTAGACCGCATCATTTTATATGTATAGCTGGGATTATGCGTTCCAATGTACATTACTTTGCATTTATCAACATTAAATTTCATCTGCCATTTTGTTGCCCAGTCACACAGTTTTGGGAGATCCTTTTGTAGCTCTTTGCAATCTGCCTGAGTTTTCACTATCTTTAGTAATTTTGTATCATCTGCAAATTTTGCCACCTCACTGTGTACCCCTTTTTCTAGATGATTTATGAGTATGTTGAATAGGACTGGGCCCAGAACAGATCCCTGGGGGACACAACTATTTACCTCTCTCCATTCTGAGAGCTGATAATTTATACCTACCCTTTGTTTCCTATCTTTTAACCAGTTACCAATCCATGAGAGCACCTTCCCTCTTACCCTGTGGCAACTTACTTTGCATAAGAGCCTTTGGTGAGGGACCTTGTCAAAGGCTTTCTGAAAATCTAAGTACACTATATCCACTGGATCCCATTGATCCCCATGCTTGTTGACCCCCCTCAACATTTTATCCTATATAAAATGATTGATTATTCAGCTATACATGTATTCATTTATATATGAGTGTCCCAATTATAGCACACAACCTAATTCTGAATATTTGATAACATAGATACTTAGTTACATCTGTATGTAGGAATAAAACTGTACCTATTACTTAAGTTACTCAAAGCAGGAAAGATTTACAACAAACTCTACTGGAATGAGAATCAAACACCATACCTGCACCCACTTTGAAAGATTTGTTCAGTTTCTTATCTTTTACTCATGATAAACACACACCTACAACTACACCTTTTAAGGCAGTACTAGTCCCGACTGACCTCAGCTGTTTGGTTGATAACGTCTCCAAGGGTTGGGGAGTCCAGATTTATTCCATGCCTCAGTCACTGGGAAGCTCCTTTACTTAGGCCCTGGCCCGAGTCTCCCCCTTTCCGGGGAGGTAGGATCCCCAGCACCTTACTGCCAGGGTTTGGGGGAGGGTTGAGCTCTTGCAGGCTTGGGGGCTCTTGCTCCCAGTGACCCGCAGCCAGAGCTGTAGAGACAGCCGGCCCCGAGGGGCAGGCCCTGGCAGCCCCCGAGTGCCTGCGTTCGGGAAGGTTATTGCAGCTGTCAGAGCGCGTCTTCCTCTCCCCGGGAGCGCCAGTGCCCCTGCGGGGAGGCAGCGCCCGATCGCCACCGGGACCGGCGAGCTGAGGGGGGGGAGGCCTGTACAACAAGGTTGGCTCCGGAACCAAGAGCCCAGGCGGGCGCCATACTAGAAACTAAAATGGCTGCCCCGGGGACAGGAGCTCAGCTCGGGCCGTGAGGGGCTGCGCCTCCACCCGCCTCACCGACAAGGGACGTCGCCTCGCCTCGCCTGGCACACCTTGGACAGGTACCGTCCCGCGCAGGCGGCCTCGGGGACTGGCAAGCTCCATTGACGAGGGCCCCGCAACCTCTCCCGCACCCAGAGCTCGGCCCATTCGCTCCCCGCCCCCGGAGCCCAGCCCCCCGCGTAGCTGGAGCCGGTCCCACCGCGGAGCCTACCTGGAGCTCGGCCCGCTCCACCTCCCAGTGCGCCCTCTCCATCTCGAAGCGGGCCCACTCATGCTGGATGTAGTGCAGGATCCCCGGGATGGTGTAGTGCTGGGGCCGGGACAGCTCCGCGCGGTCCCCCGCGTCCTGACCCGCCGCGGCCGCCGGGACCTGAGGCTGCTGCCCGCCTCCGGCCCCCACGCAGCCCGCACCAGGCTGCACATTCATATTCCCCCCTGGCTGCGGCGGCGGTGGCTGCTGCGGTCTCGGAGCGGCCGCCATCCCGCCTCCGACTCCGGGGTGCTCGTCCATTGTCTGCGGGGAGCCCTCCTCCTCCTCGTCGTCCCGCTTGGGGCAGGGGCGTGGGGCAGCGACGCTGGCTGGGGGGGGAGAGAGAAGGAGGGGGCGGGACGGGCCCGGGGAGGAGGGGGAGGCTGCGCCGAGCAGTATCCGGGTGTCAGAGCAGCGCCGAGCCGCCGCCGGCCGCCATTACAATCTCCGATCCATCTCACACCCACCCACTGCGGGGGGGCGGCGGGGGGGAGGAGCAGGGAGCCGCGCGGGGCGTGCCGGGAAACAACCGCCCTCCCAGCCGAGCCCGCTGACGTGCGCATGCGCACCGGAGGCGGGGGGGGGGGGAGCACGGGTCCCGGGGACCCCGGCTGGGCGGTGCTGCAGCTGGGGGAGTCTGTCTGTCTCCCCCCGGACCCGCCCAGCGAGCAGGGGGCCAGGGGCAGCGCCGCTCCTAGCACGGGGTAAGTGACATCATAACAACAAGGGCTGCAGGTGCACGGTCGCTAGGACGGTAGCTGGTGGTGCTGCTTCGTCCGGCCCGATTCAGCGTCAGGGGGTCCCCTGCTCCCATCAGCTCGGGGGGAGCGGGGGCTGCGATCCGCTCTGCCCAGGCGTGGCTGGGGAGGGGCTTGTTTAAAAGACGTGCCAGCCGCCTCTTATGGGGCGGGGGGAGGGGTCTTCCTGCCCCCCAACCCACCCACGTGGGCACGGGGCGCCCCTGCGGTTTGTCGGGTTAAAACGGTCTCTCGGCTCACAGGCTGCGCCAGCCGCAGATTCCTCACATTGCTGCCGCATTCTTCCAACGTTCACAGCCAGCGCTGGGGCCTCCAAGCAGGCCCGTTTCCCTCCGGGGTGGGGCGGCTCTGGCTTTGCCGTTCCTCCTCACCTTTCTGTATCGCCACCCAGAGGGGGCGAAGGAACGCGTGTATTCAGGCTCATGTCACCTTGAAAGGGAGAGCGAAGAATGACACTAGGCAGGTAAAATTTAGTGCGAGTGCAGGGAAGAAGTTTGTGACAGGACCAGAATCCCCCTGTTGCCAGGGGAAACTGTGGGAACTCCTCACTTGGACTGGTTAAAACTGGACGGTTAGAGAGACAAAGTGAGGTAATATCTTTTATTGGACCAACTTCTGTTGGTGAGAGAGACAAGTTTTCCAGCTTACACAGAGCTCTTCTTCAGGTCTGGGGCACTTAGTACCATAGCTAGGATGACCAGATGGCCTGATTTTATAGGGACAGTCTTAATATTCAGAACTTTGTGTTATATAGGCACCTATTACCCCTGGCCACCGTCCCGATTTTTCACACTTGCTTTCTGATCACCCTTGTCACGGTTAAATACAAGATGGAACCTACTGTTTAGCATAAGTAGTTAATACATATTTCAAGGGACCATTCAAGCTTATCTTTTTCACCAACAGAAGTTGGTCCAATAAAAGATATTATGTGTCTCTCTAATATTCTAGGACCACCATGGCTTACAACAACACTACCTAAAACTGGACCAGACATAGTTGTAGCAAAGAGCAGCTACATAGTCTTATTGGCCCTCTTTCTTATAAGGAATAATACAAAGCAAACATGGCCCAAAATATAGGCTGTTTGGAAATAAACTTTTACAAAACAAAAGGGCACTAGAAATGTGATTTTAATAGCAATGGAAACAGGGGTGAGGTTTTTTTTGCGGGGGGAGGAGTAAATAAAAACATACCCTGCTAAATTTGAAACTCACACATTGCAGTATTCTGCTAGTACATGAGAACTCAAATTGAAGTGTACTTGAAACTGACTAGTAGCTCACGAAACCTCATGCTCAAATAAATTGGTTAGTCTCTAAGGTGCCACAAGTACTCCTTTTCTTTTTGCGAATACAGACTAACACGGCTGTTACTCTGAAAGAAGTGAAAGTGTGTATTGTATTTCATTCTTAGCTGAAATAAAAAACTGATTTACTTTTCAATAATTTTGCAATTATTTCTCTTTTAATATAAGCTGCTATTTGTCTTGTAAATAAGGAGATTATTTCTTTTGAATATGCTTTTTAAACTGACAGTGAAACCTCTATGAAAATTTTACACACCTGCCACACATCATTCATGAAAGGACAAACTGATTTTGAATTAGTTTTAAGGCAACTTTTTAAAATATCTTAATGATTAAGGATTTCTGCAATGTGATTCAATGAGGCAGTTATCTGTTATTTATCATCTGGTTCGTTCAGAACTCCGATGAAGTGAGCTGTAGCTCACGAAAGCTATGCTCAAATACATTTGTTAGTCTCTAAGGTGCCACAAGTACTCCTTTTCTTTCTTCACACTAAGGAAATCTTGAAAAAATTACCTACTTGCTACAACTAGTTCAGTTTCACCAGTGGTAGCAACATCCAGAGCTTTACTGTAGATAAGGCCAAATTGTCACAGCCTCATTGCGCTGAAATTCAGCAATTATGTTGATTACATAAACCTAAAGGGATTTTAACTATCCTGTCCTACTTGACAACTTATTGCATGTCACCCATAGTTAAGCAAGGTCAGGTGTTCCTCCCACCCTCCCTACATAAACACTACTTTCTTTAACATTTTCCATCAGTAGATGATTTGGAATTGGATCAGTGGCTCAAACTGGACAATTTTTTATTTTTTTTATTATATTCATCTGCTTCCCTGCCTGCCTCCTCTGATCCTCCAGTATTGACCTCCTCTCTCTCTCACCCTTGATGACTCTTCCTAGTTGGATGTTAAAATTTCGGTTGTTTTGCTAATTCCTTTCTGGAATGCCCTCCTCAGCCACTGAGTCACTTCCTCTTAAAGCTTCACCTTAAAACCTTCATGGTTACTTTAACCTGTGCTAAACCCGGCTCCCCTTTCCATATTAGCAGATTCTTCAATTCTCCACTGACTGTAGTTATTAATCTGCAAGAACACATATTTAGCCAAGTCAGCCTTTTTCTCTTACTCAACTCCATCTTTATGTGATATTTTCTCCTTTCACGTCCCTGGATCAAACTATGTTATCTGATATCTTTCTGCATGTCATCATAAAGCATTCTGTGGTACTACATGTGAAGGACCTACTATTAAAAAAAAGTATTAACAAGGTCATTTTAAAGAATTCATCTCCCTGTTTAATAACAGAAACGAGTGGAAGACAGTGAGACCTCAAACAAATTTCACTAGTTATCAATATCCAGCGAAGAGTGGGAAAGATAGTTGCTCTTAAAAATATGATTAACTCTTTGGCAATGTCAATACATAATTTTGAGATCCTGTGGTTTCATTGTTGTTTCAATAGACATGCAGTGCTCCTTGGTAGTTAAGAAGCTGGGATAAACTTTTTGCTCCTTGTTCCTTCCCTGATTTCCCTATATGAGTAGGGACTTTTGGGGTTTGGGATTTTCTTGATAGTACTTGGTCCTCAAGTTGAAGGCCATGTCTTCTCCACCTAAGGCTACACAGAACTTACTCCAGCACCACAGCTGTTGTATCTCACATAACAGTAGATGAGGAGGGTGACTATGTCAAAAATTATTATTATTGGTAAATATTAATAATGGTGCATGATGCTTTACAGAGACTTGATAATAAAGTCCTACTCCCAGGTCAGATTCAAGACTTGCAGAAAAAGGGGAGATTTATGTGAGCTCTCCTTCCTCACTGTACACTTTCCTTTATTTTGGTAATAAGATCATAGCCACATGGTCTGATTTCCAAAGAGTTCTCAATATAAAGTCATTTGTACATCAAACTTATTTGCTCTCACCATTTCATTTGTTTATATCTTCCAGATTCTCACCTTGGCTCAAGCCATTTTTGACCTTTTTCCTTCATCTGTTCTCCCCCTCGCCCCCCCCATCCTTACCTCTTATTCATCTAGACACTCCTTTATTTCACTTCACACCAGTTCCATTTCCAACTTTTCTCTTGCTGATTTTGTTCTCCAAATCATCATGCATGAGTGCATATGCTCACAAAGTACATAATGAAAACACAGCCCTCACTCTAAAACACCATATAACTGTGTATTTTAAAAAATGGGAGCTGGGCAAACCAACAAGATGTGTAATTTGTGACTTGTGCTCCTAAGTGAGTTAGGCACTTTGGCAAATCTCATCCTTAGGCAACTAAATATGTATTTAAGAGCCAAACTTTAGATTTCTATTTTTGAAAAATGTTGGTCTTATTTAGTTATATACGTAATGGGTTAATAGGATTTTTAACGTACCCGTCATAAACCATGGCAACAATCTCCCATACAGATATTCAGTGTCCACCTATATAATGGCAATCAAGCGATATGCAAATAGTAAAACACAAGAAGATCTTGGAGAAGAACTAGCAGAGATTCAGAATGTAAATTAGAGGACCATATAGTGCAAGTACAATGGAAAAGGAAATTCTAAAGTGTTGCCCACTTCTCATTACTGTAATTTTCCACAGCGAAGAGAATAACAGTAAACTATAGAGGTCAAGGAGCACACCAAGTCATTTGGATAACTTACTGTAACCCCCAAACCACACACAAATAAAGGAGGATGAAAACACAGCCCTGGGCAAATTGAGAATTATT